AAATGGCATGCATAGGTAGCTTTTGTTACCTATAAATTTCCTTTCAGGAAAATAAGTGAGCGTTACAAATTATTTGTCATAGAAGAGGAACATCAGTCTAATGGCATTGAGAACCACTCTTTGAAGGATCAGCTTAGTGTCAGATTCCTCCAAGGTGCTAATTAAATATCTATTGATTGACAGTCTCCCCAGGCCTTGTTCTAAGGGTCTTATGTGGGTTTCTCCCCTCCTCTGTCCCATCCTTCTGGACAAAACCACACTTTAAAAGGGGCAAAAAGATTTTCAGATACAGCTTGCCCTGATGTTGACTCAGCAGGCGATAAAACCTGTCGCTAGTGCTGGGGGAGCCCTCCACGCCCGACTACCTGAGTTTCCGGAAATGGATGGGCCTCGGTCCTCATTTGCTGGAGCTGCATGACCCTCCCAGGGAGTAGATGGCTGAGGCCAGCATTTAATTAGAGGCCCAAGCAGCCTGCCCTCCATGCCTCCAACACCTCGGCTCAGCCTGGGCCTCGGGTCATCTGCAGCCCAGCCTTCGTCGAAAGCAACAACTTTGCCAACAACAGGCAGGCAGAACCCAAGAGCTCATAAAGGGACACGGCAAGCAGCAGCCGTCAGCCTTCCCTCTGGTCATTTGCTTGTCCTTCCTTCTCCCCAGCAATTAGTCATTCCTCCTCCCCATCCAGCAGCCAGAGGAAACTTTGAAAAATAGAAATCTTATCTTGTCACTCTTTGCTTAAAACCCTCCACTGGCTGCTCACTGCTCTTAGAATAAATTCACAGCTTCTTGCCAAGGCCTTGCACAGCATTGGCCTGCTCACCTCTCTGTCCACATCTCCTCCCTCTCTCCTTTCCTTTCTAACAACACTCGGACCACCTGGCCTTTTTGCTGTTCCTCATACGTTCCAAGGTTATACCTGCCCCGGGGCCTTTGCACATGCTGTTGCCTCTGCCTAGAGCACCACTCACACAGCTTGTTCCTTGTCTTCATTCACCTTCCATCTCTAACATCTTCTCTGCTTCCCTAACCTCTATGTGTCAATTAGCCCTCCCCACCCCCTGCCACTCTCTACCATGATACCCTGCTTTATGTTTTTCATAGGACTTATCACCCCCTGGAAATTACCTCAGGTGTTTTGAACTTATTTCTTGCCTCTTTTGTTCCCTGCTGTATCCCCGGATCCAAGACCAGTGCCTGGCAAGTATTGGGTACTCAGTAAAGATTTGAATGAATAGATGACTCTTAGGCTTGGACTTGAAGTAAGCAGAAAGTGAGGACAAAATGGAATTTGGATTACTGTCTCATTGTTCCAGCATTAAGAAATATAATTGAAATTAGTTCTGGCAAATTTAGCTGAGACCCAGTGCTCAGACATTGTCATCAGAACCCTGTCTTTCTGCTTCTCAGATTGTCTTTCATTTGGGTTGGCTTTATTCTTCGGAAGGTCTCCTACGTGCTGTTAAGATGGCCCCCACAGGTCCCACCTCACCAGCGTAGTAACCCCGGTTGGAAGAGAGGGCCTCTTTCCCATGCTCCAGCAAAAGTCTCAGAGCACGATTTCATTGGTTCAGCTGGGGTCATATGTCCCTCCGTTAGCCAATCACAAGGCCAGGGGAGATGGGCTACCCTGATTGGCCAGGCCCAGATCATGTGCCTAGCCCAGGAGCTGGGGGCTAGAAACAGCCTCACCTGAACAGACAAGACTGAGAGAGGGGAACAGTTGGTTCCCTTAGAAGGCACAGTTACCAAAAGACTGGAGAATGGATGCTGGGCAGAAAAATAAACCAGATGTCAACTACAGAAACCCAAATCCAGCTTCCCCATCCAGGGGCAAGTGGGAGGAGGGCATTCCTCCCAGCCCCCAGCTCCCTCTGCTTCCAGCACCGGCTGCCTCCTTCCTGCATAATCGTGCCCCCACCTTCCTCATCTGCTTCCCACACTTCTCAGTTCAGCAAGATCCCATCTCTGGCGTCCAGAACTTTTACAGCATTGATTTATCACTTCGTGCAGCAATTTGCGTTTGGTGTCTTTTCAAAAGCAGAAGAAAGAGACTCATGTTGTAACCTTGCAAGCAGCCCAGAGTTAAAAGGATTCAGTTACAGAATCTCAGAAATGCCCCAGGCCTGAGAGCTTTGGGGCTCTGGGTTTATTTAATGCATTTCTTCCCAGCCCTGCTTCCTCAGCCAATTTGTCTGCCAAAAAAACAAAGACTTCAGTCCTGTGGCATTTTGCATCTAATATTTATAGTGTTCTAGAGTTTGCAAAAGCACTTCCTTCTCATTTATCACTTGTTCCTCAGGAGACCTCAGCTCCACCCCCATAAAGTTAGTGAGATTTTTCTTTTCTGCCCAGACTGGGAACTCCAGAAGCCAATGGTGGATGGCGAAGGGCTCACAACTCAGGGCCCTTCTACTGGCAGCAGGGGTGGGATTGAAACTCGGCCTGGACCAGCTCAGCTCCTATTCTGCACCCCTTGGGACCAAATTTGGGTGTTGCAAAATGGCAGCCAACAGCCTGAGTCCACACTTCAACCCCAAATATATTCTGTTTGAGTTACAGGTGGTTTTTTTGTTTGTTTTGTTTTTGTGAGGAAGATCAGCCCTCAGCTAACATCTGTTGCCAATCCTCCTCTTTTTGCTGTGGAAGATTGGCCCAGGCCAACATCCGTGCCCATCTTCCTCTACTTTATGTGGGACGCCGCCACAGCATGGCCCGATAAGCAGTGCACAGGTCCGTGCCTGGGATCCAAACCCACAAGCCCCAGGCCGCCGAAGCGGAGCACGTAAACTTAACGGCAGCACCACTGGGCCGGCCCCTACAGGTGTTTTTTAAAATCTGGAAATTTCACCAAAAAATCCAGATTCCAAGCTTTTCTTAAAAAAAATGATGATGATGATGATCTTGCCAATATTGGCAACATTCCTGAATGGTAGGGTTCGGCAGACTACAGCCCACAGCGACCTGTCACCTGTTTTTATAAATAAAATTTTCTTGGAACACAGCCATGCTCATCTGTTTACATATTTTCTATGGCTGCGTTTGGTCTGCAGTGGCAGGGTTGAATACAGTCATGCACCGCATAATGACTTTTTGGTCAACAATGGATTGCATATACAACAGTGGTCCCCCAAGATTAGTACCGTATAGCCTAGGTGTGCAGTAGGCTATGCCATCTAGGTTTGTATAAATACACTCTATGATGTTCGCACAGTAAGAAAATCGCCTAATGACACATTTCTCAGAATGTATCCCCATTGTTAAGCAACTCATGACTAATTGCAACGAGACCATATGGCTGCAAAGCTGAAAATATTTACAGTCTGACCCTTTGCAGAAGAGGCATGCAGACCCCTACTAGATGGCAGTAGCTGACTGGATTTGTCTCACAGCTGCCCCCAGTGTTTGGTAGATATAGGTACAGCTGAGGGCTCTTTGATCCTCAGATAACATTGATTCAGAGATGACAGACACTATTTCTTTCTCATTTGACAGTTTGGGCGTTAACAGCCCAGGGAGGATATGCACACCCGATGTTGGCACCCAGGCTCCTTCTGTGACCTTCCTCCACTACCCTGGGGGAGTGCCCTTGTCCAGAATGTCTCACCACATCCACATCTGGCCACCAGGAAGCAGGAGATTCAGGGGAGGCACCCCCACTTCCCACAGGGGCGTTACCAGAACTCACCCACTGCCCCCACCCATGGCTCTGCCAAAAATTGGTCGTGGCCACGTCCAGCTACAAGGGAGGCTGAGAATGTACCCTCCATTCTGGCAGCCTTGTGCCCAGCTAGTAATACTGTTTCTGTGGAGAAAGAGCCACTGGGCGCTGGGGTGACAGCAGGTTCTGGGGCACTTCACCGGAAGGGCCAGAGTCTCCACTCGCCACACGCCTCCCCTTCTCTCATTATTAGTCCATTTCATTCATTTACAGGAGCACCTGAACCTCGTTTGAGTGTCTGTGCCCTGTTGTCAGTTACATGCGTTCTTTCCCGGGGAGAGGAAGAAAAGGAACTGATGAACTCCAAGGGCAGAGGAAAGGTTGCAGGCGTGGAATCGTACAAAATGTGTCCCCTGGTTGCGTAAACTAGTGATTGGGAAATAACTGAGCCGAATACGCCCCCAGATCTAGTGCTCACAGCACTGGGGCCGGCAGAGGATGAGATGCACTTTGGAAGCTGTAACGTGCGGTGGAGACTCTGATCAGGGGCTCGCTCATCCCGGGGAAGGAAACGCCATCGTCCTGAGCAGCACTGAGCTGAGTCAATCCCGCCATGCTCCTGGAAACGCTGCCTTCATCTGGCTTCTCGCTCCCTTCTCCTCCTTCCCCGCCTGCTCCTTTCCAGTCCCCTAGACTGCTGTCTCACCATCCTGACCCCCTACTCGGGAGCCCAGGGCCCTCTTCTCTAGCTAGACTCATTCCCCAGCCAGAATTTTCTACCCGTTAGTGCCACGGGACCCCCCTGGCATCTGGTGAAGGCCATCAGTCCTTCTCAGAATGATGTCTTCAAATTAAATGTATAAAAGAAAATACACAAAATGACAAAGGAAGCCGGTTATATCAAAATACATTCATCAAAATACTTTATGAACTGTGATGTGTGCTGCTTTACACATGAAATAACATGATGTAGTGGTCATTTAACTGATAACTGATAGATCTGATTACGTCCATGATTTCAAAGTAGGACCAGATCTGATTACGTCCATGATTTCAAAGTAGGACCAGCTTAAAAGACATTTTGAGATGTCTGTGTTAACTGTTACGTGATATGAGAATATCCGTGACTTCTGCTCGGGACAAAGACACACACACTGCTGTTACTGTGATTGAAGGAGATGCTAGTTAGAGGATAATGAAAATAAATAAAAAGATGTGGTTTTCCCATCCAGTTTATGGACCATAGATTAAGAACCTCTTGCTTAGATGGTCTCATTCAATTCTGTGGCATTAAATGCCATCTAAATGCTGACAGCTCCCAAATTTCTACCCCCAGCCTAGACCTTTCCCCTGAACCTGGAAGCATATCTCCCCAGCTGCCCGCCCTGTCTCCACCTCAGTGTCTAACTAGCCCCTCAAGGTTAACGGGTCTCACCTTGCGCTCTCTATCATGCCCACCCCAGAACCTGCCCCTCCCACGGCGCCCCCTTCCTCAGTGATGGCGGCTCTGTGCTGTTGCTCAGGCCATATACCTTGAAACTGACTCCTCTCGCTTCTTTCCGACACCACATCTAATCCATCGGCAAAGCCTGTTGGTTCCACCTTCAAAAATAACCTGAAACCAGCCAAGCCCTCTGCCCCCACCTGGTTAGAACCATCCAGTCTCTCTCCTGAATTAGTGTCAAAGCCTAGAGTCCCACTTTCCCACTTCAGACTGTTTCCAACCGTAGAATGTAAGCTCGGTGAGGGTGTGGTTTTTCTGGTTTGTTAATTTATTGTTTTGTTCCACAGTATCCTCAGTGCCTAGAACCATGCCTGGGACATAAGCAGTGTCCTCTAATGTTTAGTGAATGGGTGAATGAACGAATGAATGAGTAACATCATGATAAATAATATTATTATAATAAAAAGAATAATCAGCCTTTGGGGCACTTTCCCTACGTTTTCTCATTGAATCCTTCCCAACAACGTTGTCAGGTTGGTATATTAATATCCCCATTTTACAGTTGGGAGAACTGAGCTGGTAGGTGGAAATAGCTGGATTTAAACCCAGGCTGTCAGCTCTGGAGCCCGGACTCAACCTCCACGCCCACCTGCCTCCCAGGATAAAATCATCCCTCAAACCCTGTACTTCTGGAAAGACTGGTCCAGATGATGTCTGTGGCTCCTGCCCGTGTTCCCATGCTGATGCTTCGAGAAATGCGAAGAGCTCAAGCCCTGGGAACAGCCTTCCCTCGACAGCCCACGGCCCAATGACCCCTGGAAGGATGGAGCATGGGGAAATGACGTCATTTCCCCATGGAGTCTCTCGTCTGCCTGGGATTCTGGAGCAAGGGCTTTGGAGGGTAGTCTGAGCCCACCGAGGAGCAGGACCGCTTGGATAACGAGGTCCGTTTGTCCTTGTCCCTGCCCTCAGTCACTGAGCAACCCACTTGCTGCTTCCTTTCTCTGTCGGGGGTTTCCCTGCCTCTCCTCGCCCCAGCGGATGGGCAGTGCTCCGGTCTGTAGTAACGGGGCTGCCGTCCTGCCGAGATGCGGGCACAGGCAGTAGCCCAAAGCCAGGCTGAAGATGGACCACCGGGGTTTGAGTCTCGGCCCCGCCACTCACCAGCTGTGGGACGTTCGGAAAAAGGGACGTCACCTCTCTGTGCCTCAGTTTCCCCAACTGTAAAATGGGGACAAAAATAGTATCTACCTCACTGGGTTATAATGGAACATCATCATCATCTAACCCAGTGGTTCTCGAAGTGTGCCCCAGGACCCCTGGACCCCAAACTGTGTTCATGATAATACCAAGACGTTATTTCCCTTTTCACTCTCTTTTCTTCAGGCGTACGGTGTTTTCTAGAGGGAAGGTAACATACCCACAGTTACCTAAAAAGGGTATTAAACTACTCCTCCCCTTTCCATGTGCATATCTGTGTGAGGCTGGATTTTTTCATGAAACATGACCAAAACCACATATCGCAACAGATTGAAGGCAGGAGTAGCTATGAGAATTCAGCTGTCTTCTATTAAACCAGACATTAAAGAGATTTGCAGAAATGTAAAACAGTGCAGCCCTTCTCACTAATTTTGTTTTGTTTTGGGAAAATCCATTTATCATTTTTAAAAATGTATGTTGACAAGTAGTAGCCTTGTCATTACTATTTTTAAGTGAATTAGTATGTTTTAAATTTCTCAGTTTTCGTTTCTAATATGGTAACTATCACTAGATATAACTGACATAAACAAAATTCTTTGGGGTCCTCAGTAATTGTTAAGAGTCTGAAGGGACCCCGATACCAAAACATTTGAGAACTGCTGCTGTTGGCTGACCCTGGCCTGGGGCCCTTCCTCAGTTTTGCAGAGCACCCCACAGCGAAGGCATGTCTCATGTGGATTAAAGAGATCCGGATTCAACCAAAAAGTGCCACAAAATCAAATAGGAAGACAATGAGTGAACAGCTCTGCCCACTGTTCCACTCAAAGACTGTGTGCCCTGGGTGATGGTCAATAAGAGTCTGCTGTTCCCTCAGTCGGACACGATTCCCACAGGACCCCCATAACCTGGGTGGTCGTTTGTTCAGTCATTTACTCGTTTATCCCACAAATGTCTGTTGAGGCCTTCCTGCTTGCCCAGCTCTGTCCTAGATATAGGGACACAGGTGGGCACAAGGCAGGCAGAAACCCCTGTCCTCAGGGGGCTGATGTTCTAGTTGGGAAGGTGGGTGATAAAAACCAGAAGACACATTTGTCAGGTGGGGATAAATACTGTGGAGAAACAAAGTCAGGAGAAGAGGGAGATCCAGGGGTGGGGAGCCACCATTTTAAGAGCCTGGTTAGGCAGGTGACCCAATGAGGTGACATTGGAACAAATACTTGCAAGAGGTGAGAAAGCAGTGTGAGGAAGATGGTTTCTTTAGAGAGAACAGCAGGAGCAAAGGCCCTGAGGCAGAAATGAGCTCTGGAGGCTGGGAGGACAGAAGGAGGCCACTGTGGCTGGAACAGAATGGGCCACAGCACAGTGCGTCGACGAGGTCAGGGAGGGGGCAGAAGACGGATCATAGGGGACCTGGTAGGCCACGGCAGGGACTCTGAAATTGAGTTCAAGAGAGATGCAGGGCCACTGAAGGGCTTTGAGCCGAACTGTGGCTTGATCAGATTTGTGATTTAACAGAATCCGTCTGGCCATGTGGAGGTTGGAGGGAGGAGGCAAGAGGAGCAGGGAGGAGGCTCAGCAAGGTCCAGGCGAGGAAGGCGGTGCCTTGGACCAAGCTGGTCGCCGTGAGATGTGAGAGGTGCCCAGTCCTGGTCTGGTCGGAAGGTGGGGCCGCTACTGCGCATTGTCAGTGGCCGTGGTGGGGGGAGGAGCCGACGACCCTCCAGGCCATGTGGCCTGAGCACCTGGCACTTTCTGGGATGCTGGGAGAGATGCAGGTTCGGGGGGACCAGTCAAGAGTCCAGCTTGAAATGCCTGTTTGGTACCACATGAATTGATCTGAAGGAAAATATTAAGTTTGTCACAGTCCAAACGATACGTAAAAATGGCAAAACACGAGAAAGACGCACGCAGACAACTAGAATTCAGAAGATGCCGCGAAGGGCAAAGACCCCTCTTTGTTTTCCCAGCCTCCTCACATGTGAAATGGGGCAGTGTATTCTGGGAAAGATGGACTTTCCGGAGTGTTCGACTTCATTTTTCACTGACCTTTCCGAATTGCTTTGGCAAACGTTGTTTATTGTCATTGGCTCGCCTCTGCGCTCCGGCCCATCCTTGCTAATAGACGTGTGTCATGCTCGGCCGCTTTCTTTGTGCAGCATAAACATCCTCCCCTGAGCTCGTTACTGGGGTCTCAGAGGGGCCTTGTCGTTTTCCAGGACGGCGTCGCATCTGGTTTCTAACAGCCGTTTTCGTTTCTCCAGAGACCCGAGCGTTCATCCCCCTCCCTGAAAAGGAAGCGGGCTGTATTTTGAGAACTCACAGTTCCTTTTTTTGGAGTTCTTGCTCTGTGCCAGACATGATCTCACGCACTGCTGCTCCCATTTTGTAGATGAAGTCACTGAGGCCTAGAGAGGAGCGCCCACCTGCCCGCGGATTTAGGGTGCGAACCCTGGCCCTCTACCTCTGGGGACCAAGCTCTTCAGAGCCACGCTGCTCCCCCTCCATCGCTGGAGACCCGCACAACTTTTGAACGTGTGCAGCCAGCACCCAGTTTCTCAACATCAGCACCACTGACACTTGGGGGTCGGATAATTCTTTGTTCTGGGGCCTCCTGTGCATTATAGGGTGTTGAGCAGCCTCCCTAGCCTCCACCCACAGGATGCCGGTAGGACCTCCACTCGCCCAGTTGTGACAGCCCACAAATGTCTCCAGACATTGCTCAGTGTCCCCCAGGGGGCAGATCACCCCGGTTGGCCTGATATGTGTTCAGTGTACTTTGCACAGACGGGCCTTGGGTTGATGTCTCTACTACCCCCACTGACTCCTCTCCCAGCAGGCAGCATTGCTGCCTGCAGATACTGTCACAGAAATCCCTTTAAATAAAACATTTAATTGTCGCTGCTCCAGCCCTCCTGTCCTCCCAGGGAGGGTGTGAGGCTTAAGACACTCGAGAGGGGCAGTTTTGCCCTGCACGGCCTGGGTGTCTCACCAAGTCCACTGACCCATCACCCTGTCAGCAGCTGTTACTGTATGTCCACTCGGCCACGTACGGGGCCGGAGCTACAGCGCCCAGGAAAGGCCCCTGCCTTGTGGACCCAACATCCTAGGTGGGGAAATGATGATACACAAGAAAACAAGCACATCTACAGGATCATTTCAGAGAGCTGAGCGCTCTGGAAAAGCGAAATAGCCTGCTGAGGATAGAGGGGTGGGTGACTTTCGACAGGGTGACCAGGGACAGCTTCTCAGAGGAGGTGACCTCTGATCTGAGACATCACAGTGAGAAGGAACCAGTCCATGTGAGAAGGGAGGAGGCAAGTGTCCAAGGCAGAGGGGAGAGCAGGTGCAAATGCCCTGAGACGGCAGGGAGCTTGGCGCATTTAAGGCACAAGAGGCCTGGAGAGGCTCGACCAGAGTGAGCCGAGGGGCGCGTGGGGGAGCCGTGGGCAGAGGCAGCAGGACAGGCGGGCGAGTCACTGAGGAGGTGGCCGAAGGGTCTTGGGTTCGGAAGGGCCCTTCTGGTCGTTTGGGGGTGACTGGGTTATGGGAAGGCAAAAAGGGAGGCAGCAAGTCCAGGTGGAGGCCGTTTCCGTTGTGAGCGAGAAAGTGAGGATGAGGAAGCAAGATCCATTTCTGTCTCCTTTTTGGACTTCCTCACCCTGAGGGCCTTGCCTCTTTCATTTGGATTCCCGAACCCTGGGTCTGAGG